GTCCTTGCTGCTGGTACGGGCGCCATCTAACTAGTTTTGTTTCTTTCTCCAATTTTTTTTCTTCCCTTTTTTCCTACCGTATCAAAATATAATTTATTCCGTGCATAAGTTTAAAGACATGAAGCACGATACACTGTTTCAGTGCTATGTCTATGTCCGCATGTCAAATACGGACTCGGTTACTAACCATCAAGTACGGATACGTTGTTTGAGTGCTGTATCCTCATGTCAAACGTACATCCATCCAATTAGCAGCATGCAAAATAAACAAAAAAAACTGAATCGAACTGAATCGTCTTTAAAATAACTAATTTTTGAAAATCAGTTCACGAACCGAACCGATTTTTAAAGAATCAATTCATAAATCGAACCGATTTTTAAAACCAAACTATTTTGAACCGTACTCAACCGTTTTCAAACCGAACCAAATTAATTTTTATAACTTTATTTTTTTAAATTTTAAAAAAAAAAATTCAAAAAAAAGCCGACCTGAACCGGTTCTGAACCATTTTTAACTAAATCGAATCACTTATGAACCAAACCATTTTCGAACAGAACCATTTAAATAATTGCGATTCGATTTTTCAAAAATTTGGATTCGGTTGAATCCATTTGAATCCATGCACATCTCTGCATCCAATGCGGACAATCGCACAAACACACTGACACGGGCGTCCATAAATTATTATTTGTATATGAATAGTTCTATTACCATGTTCATTTAAGAATCTTTATAAAATAATGATTTATATTTTTTAGGAGACTTAAAAAACAAATATTAGAAAACGTTTATATAAATATATATGTGAATAGAATAGAATTATATTGACAAATTTTTTTTTACAAATTATACTATATGTATTCGTAGTGAGACATAATATAATTTATAAAAATTTGTAAATAAAAAATTTGTAAATATAAACTTAAACGCGTGAATAAGGTATAATTTTTAAAATTTTATGCGTGCACAAATCGGTATGCATGTTTTGTTGCGGATCTGTGGCAATGTGCTTCATAGTATAAATAGCCAGTTCCCCCTCCTATACCTTGTAAGTACTCTTTGCCAATCAGTAAAAGAAAAACAGATGACATTATCTTCATCAGAGTAAATTAAAATATTCACAACTGCGAACAAAAATAATTTACAACAAAGAAAGACAAATTAAATTTATGAGGTTCCTTTCTCATCATCTCACTCTCACTTTTCTCTTACTCCTCAAAGCACAAGAATACTTCCCTGATATTTGATTTTCCAAGACTAACCTGTGATATTTGTTTCACTCCTATAAACAAATTTCCATGCATAGCTGGTGTAAGATGCAATTAGCCATTTATCTGTCTGGTTGAAAGACTTTTTCTTCAACATGATCTGCAAATCTAACCCTTGGTCGCTGCAAGCTCTGTACAAACAAGCTGAAATAAGCCAATTGTTCAATTGGAAGAACCAATTTTGGGTATAACTTCACATACCAATGTTCTGCAGTGGATGTTCAGATCATCATTCATCTCGCTAAGACGGTCCTTTGCACGTTGTTCTGCTGCAAATGCTTTCCTGCAGGCTTCTTTAACCTAAAATATATAGGGACAAGAAAAAGCTTAGTATGATAACCATTTTTCTATTATTTTTACGCTAAATGATCATATTTTGCATATACAGATACAAAAATGGGCTGAAGTTCGTTGGTGATGAGCCAAATTAAGTGTAGAAAAATTAATGAACCAACAACAGAAAAAGCTATTAATTAAGAGTGGAGAATGAAGCTATATTTTCATAAGCTCAGATGCATTAAATAAAAAGAAGAAGCAAAGTTATGGTGAATTTGTCAATATACAAGTGTAAGTGACCCATACTAGAACAAGGGGCAAAATGCACTGATAATTTCCTTTCCTAAGGCTGAAAGCAAACATTATAAACTGGCTAGATGAAATAATTATTGAAGTTGAAAGGCATCAAAAGCTTCACATATAACAAGCATTGCTAGGGGATAAAAAGTAGCTATTTATGGGCATCGTTTAGAAAAATGAAATGATAATAATCCAGTGATCAGAGGGGGAAAAACAAAAACACAAAATGGGTAATGTTAATCAACTAGTCTTTTCAATCTCTACCCAACACATAAATTAGAAACGAGCTACAGATCCTGTGGCACTCACCTTGCTTCCATCAATTGCAGGATTGTCATTGACACTATCAGTGGATCTTTCCAACATATTTCTCAGATGAGATAGTTCATTTATAAGCTCTTGGGCAACCTCTTCGGCGTCTAGAAACTGATTTCTAGAAAATTCAAATGCTCTTTCTGCATGAAGGCGGAAAGAAGTACAGTTTAAACAATTGCAAAGCCCTCTGCATCCTCTTGGATTTTTTTTTAAAATTCCTTGTCTGAAACCGACGGCAGGGACTCTAAGTTGATCTAAGACTTTCAGTTGAGACAAGCTCTGACAAAATCCATGTGTTTCAGGTGACTTTTCCTCATTAGAAGATATAGGGGAAGAACAA